CAACTTATACTGACATGAAGTATCAATATGCAAAAAAATACGGGGAAAAATACTTACAGGTAACAGTTCTCTTTCCAAACCCCCGCATCCCCAGAATACAGAAATAGCTTGTCCTCTTTGGAATAAGAAACCCCAGCTCTCTTCAACCCTGACTCAGGGAAGGGAAAGGAATGGGAAACCCACTTGGTGGATGTTCTAAGTCCTACACTGGCCCTTTGCACGAAAGAGGAAGGGACTCACTCTTGGTCTGGGCAGAGAAGGTAAGGGTAAGTTTGGCGAAAAGGTCATTGTTCTCAAAGCGGTCCTCCTTCACCTTTGTCCAAAAGCAGTCCTGGGAAAGGTCCTCAGCGACAAACTGTAGACACAAGCAGGTGTTAAAAGTTACTAAACTGAGCTTCGCACTTTTCATTTTAAAAAACTGATTAAGATGCAAAAGAGGCAGCTGGCTGGTTACTGCCAATGTCTTACTAGAATAAGACTAACCTGAGATACAGAGAATAGCTACGTAAGTCGTGGTGGGACCAGCAGATGATGATTCTACTTTGTTTACTGGTGATTATTCAAGAAATAGATCCAGTTAGGCTGCTTATCCATCTAACCCCAAATCCTCTACTTTTGGAAGCATTATGGCTTTATTTTGCATCTTCCCTTGCTCTACATTAAATTTTCCCCATCAATGTGGCTAACTACCAAAGTTGTTCATTTTATGAACAAATCCCTAAGTTCCTTTATTGTACCTCAGTTTCCAGAAGCACAAGGCTGACACAGAATCACAGGGGTCTCACATAGTGGGAACAATACTGTGCCATGTAAACATATTCTGTGTAACTCACTGGGGGATGGTGGTAGGAGGTTGTATCCATAAATCCATGACTTTTGGATCAGCAAAATTATCAGTACCTTGAAGGCGTGAAATGACTATTATCAAATTGTATATTATCACAGCACTCATACCCTCAGAGAAAAGGGCAACAGCATTAACTTACGGGTAAGTTTAGGTTTTGTAGCAGAGTACAGGGCTCAAAGAACTCTCCCAAGTGCTATCTGGCATATAGGACATGCCTAATATCTTTTGAACAAACATATGCATGATTGGAATTTGAAGACAGACAGGAGTGAACTGTAAGAGAGGGAAGGCCAACCATGCACAAAATACAAAGTTGGAGATCAAAGTGTTTCTTAAAATCTGATGAAGAGATGGACAGAAATTCTCACCTTGGACCAATTTGGCCTCCGGAGCTGCACCTCTGGCTTGTAAAGTTTCTTTGGGGTTAATCCAAATGGCAGAACTGGGGCTGCAGGAACTCCAAATCCAAAAGGTAGAGGTGGAGGAATGCCAGGGCCTCCAGGAAATGGAGGGGGTGGAGGGATTCCACCAGGAAGAGGGGGAGGGGGAGGTAGCATTCCTGGTCCTCCAGGCAAGGGAGGAGGAGGTGGGGGGATGCCAGCACCCCCAGGCAAAGGGGGAGGTGGGGGGATGCCAGCACCCCCAAGCAAAGGAGGGGTGGGGGATGGAAGCACCCCCAGGCAAAGGAGGGGGTGGGGGGATGCAAGCACCCCCAGGCAAAGGAGGGGTGGGGGGATGGAAGCACCCCCAGGCAAAGGAGGGGGTGGGGGGATGGAAGCACCCCCAGGCAAAGGAGGGGGTGGGGGGATGGAAGCACCCCCAGACAAAGGAGGGGGTGGGGGGATGCAAGCACTCCCAGGCAAAGGAGGAGGAGGAGGTGGTGGTGGTGGAGAAGCAACGGTCCCACCCGCAGAAAGAGGGGGTTCAGAGGCTGTGCTAACCTCTCCTGGTAAAGAAGGGGGTGAGGGTAGAGTAACAGCGCCAGAGTCAGCAGGTAAAGGAGAGGCAAGAAGAGCAGTAGCACTGCTAGGAGGAGTCGCTGCAGTTACTGCAGCAGAAAGAGAAGCCATTTCTTTCTTGGCATCTTCCAGCTCCTTGGACAGCTTGGCAACCTACAGAAATAACATCAACAGGAATACTCCTCAGTCCACTTCAGGGACCACTGGGGCTGGAATGCATCTAAGAAATTACTTAATCCCAAATTCTCATTTTACACAAGAAAGGAGTAAAAGGAGTCAGACAGCTGTAAGGCTCCACCTAAAGTCACACAGCTATTCAGTGACAGAGCCTTAGTCCTTCAGGCTCTTCGTCCAGCAAGCTCTGCATTAAAAAGGCAACTTCAACATTTATGTTAAACTCTCCCTTCGATTAGAAAATGCAAAAATCAAGTAAACCAAATATTCTAGTTACATAATTACAGTATGTGCTATACAAGTGATTATATAACCACATAAATGATCAAGGTATCAGGTATCACAGATCATTTCAGTATCTGTAACTGCACCAAGTGTCTGGGGATAAATCTGACTAAAATAAGGAGAAAATCAGCAAATATGAGAAGAGTTTACTTAATATTTACTCCTGAATTTATTAGAAGGCTATTATCTTTATTTCTGGGTAGCACTGTGACTCATTTTATTCTTTATGGTGTTCTGTATTTTTCCAAATTTTCTATCTTACTTATTACTTAACCCCAAAACAAAACGGTTAATGATTTAAAAAATATGCACCATCTACCTAGATTACCTAGTAGTATCTGAACCCTCCCTGGGAGTAAGATGACAGAGTCCTGCTCCAACACAAGCTCACCCTGAGGCTGCTGATGGCAGTTACAGGTCACGCTGCCCTCCCTGCTCGGACATTACCTCTCCTGTGAGCTGAGACACTTCTGCTTCCAGGTCCTGTTTCTCTGTGGCAATTTGCTGCTTTTCAGAATCCAATGCATCCTTTTCTCCCTGAAGGTCTTGGAGCTTCTGCTCAAAGTCACTTTCCATCTTTTTCATTTCCACCTGTAGCTCATGTCGGGCTGTTAACTCTGAGTCCAGCTAGAGGAAAAAGAAATCAGGCTCCTGGTAAGCTCTCCAACTCGGCAAGAAGCACAGTGTTTTTCCCCGTGGTTCCCTGTTTTGTGCTAATCCTTGATCTACTGAGCTCACTGACCCAAGGAATGCCTGGGAAAAAAAGACCGCCATGATTCTGACCCCTAAAATCAAGGTTAAAGGAGGGGGAAACCAGGGATTATTTCCATAGTCTGTCTACACTTGACTTATAAAAAATAAAACAAAACAAAGATTTTAAAGACATTTAACCAGGACAGCTAAGGTGTACAATCTCAGCAGTCTCAAGGATCAAAAACTTATCAACAACAGGAGTCCTTAATCAAAGAGAAAAAGAGAGTTCAGACATATTCCAGTTCCTACTGTTTTGGATAAGAGGCCTGAGACGCTAAGCAAGCCCGAGTGCTGCCAATATTACACGAGTGCCGCCTGTCTTTCCTCCTACTCAGGGGCCCAAGAACTGTGCAGACTCACAACTCACTAGCTCCTCACAAGCACGTCCGTACTACTTTCTCTGCCGAGCAACCTATACCAGAAAGGTTCCCCTAGGAACTGCTATTGTGTGCTGAACGCTTGCATAAAAATATCACACGTAAATGTTTCACATTTCACATTTTCACGTGTTTCACATGTCAGAGAAATTAAAATCCTTAGATAAAAAAAGAAAAATATACCCCAATTATTTTTGATTTCTCATACATACCTTTTTTTCCAGCTCTGTAGCTTTGGCTTCAGATTTCTCCACCTTTGTTTTATCAATCATTTGATCTGAAAAGAAAGTGAAGAGTCAGGAAGTAAAGCTCCCAATTCTCGTCTTCCCCTCTCACTGCCTAAGCCTTTCCACATAACCGAAGGGCAGCCTTTGTTCCTTCTGTTTACTTTCCTTACCTTTCTTAATGTTTTGCATTAGACAAAGATACGGACTTTCAGTTAAGTTCAACATATAATTTCTGAGTACCTGTTACTGCAGTAAGGCCACCACGCTGGGTGGCACAGAGAATGCCTACAAGTAATACTTATCAATCTCTGAGACCAGCAGGAGTCACAGACAACAGCTGAAGTCCTTTGAAAGGTGGGGTAGTGTGTAAGTAATAGATTTTTTTTAATTATGCAGAAATAAACTAAAGGCCTGTTTTTCTTAGCAGAGATATTAGTTATTACCTAAGAAAGGACAAAAATGGAAAGACCAGAAGGCTACAAAGGTATCTTCTCTGAAATTTTCACTGAAAGAAAGATACAAAATGAAAGGTAGATGCAATGTTTTAAGGAACCAGATAGACGAATATGCTTACCAATCAATCCCTCGATATCAATCTGGAGGTGCCGGCACTTGAAGTCAGGGGTCAGCCCCATTCTTATGCAGAACTATCTGAGAAATACATTCTTCAATCAACTTATAGTATTGCGGTCTACAGAAGAAAAGAAACAAGGTTATTAAAGGAAAACCAAAATACAATTTTGGTATTCAGGATCAATAAAAGTTAACTGCTTTGACAATAGAAGGACCTGAGGATAAATGTTGGAAAGACCTTTTCAGAGAATTAACAGAGCGTTGCTGCCATGCTAAGAAATCCCCCCTCTTCCCTGTCAGCTACCCCATCTACTTCAGATAATCAAAACTTCTCGGCCACCTGCCTCCCAGTGCACATCCTTTCCCACCTAAAATTCGGGCTGGATTCTGCCTGTGATGGAATCTACTCTATTGCTTGAATCTCATGTTCCAACATGAAAAAACTTTTAATTGCTGCCTTCCTTTGCTATCATCTTCACCCCACCCACAACTGCACTCCAAAAGGAGGGCAGTTCACCTTACACACTCTGATCTCTTCCATAGAGACACCTTTCAGGTGGATTAAAGGGACAACTGACAACTCCCTTTATATCTGAGACTAAAAAAATAACTCTAATCCATGTTTTTGTCTTTTCCTTGTCCCTTTACAGACAACCTTTGAATTTAAGGGTTCTGCTATCTCCACTCAGGCTCAAATTCAAAACTTCCCACAGGTATCCCACCTTACCTGGCCTCATAGTCATTTCGGACTAAGAGTAGGTGTTGCAGGATGGACAGGAAGTGTGGCTCTGCCTTTGAATCCTTCACTGTGTTTAAGAGAATCTGGAAGACTTCACTGAAGTCAGTGGAAAAGGAGACGAGGCTAAGGAAAGCATGTATCTAGAAACTGCGTTTGACAGGGAGCTTGCCCAAGTCTTAGGGAAAGTAGCAAGATGACACTTCTATTCTAACAGCTGCTCCTCCTGCAAATCCTGCCCAAAACTTTAAGCTCTATAAACTTCCTTTGGCCAGGGGAACCAGTGAGTTGGGTGGTACTATATACAGAAATAGAAAACTCCTAGTATTTGGCTTGAAATTCAAGCAGTAGACAGAAACGAGAAGAAAACTGCCTCAAAGTCACGTGTGGCAAATATCAATAGGTAATCAAATTATTCCCTCTGTCAGCCTCAGGGAAACATACAAGGGAGCATATTACAACCCCACTCCCTGACTTACGTATGTTCTCCAAAAACCAGCTCTACGTCTTAGTAAGATAAGCTTCCATGTTCTAGGATGTCCACACTAATTTTGATGACTACTTTCATGCTAAGCATTCCTCAGGTCACTTTTCCCAACTTTCTTGGTCCATGCTGAGGTAAATAAATCCAAAGGCAATACCTGCCTGCCTTATCTACTGAGAAGACACACAGACAAATGCCCTGTTCTGAGTCATCAACCCCACAGCACTCCACACAGGGATCTGCAACAGAATACAACTTTATGTCTTGTCTGTCTTCAAAAGAGTAAATCCTTAGTCAGCAAAAGGATATTCCATCTCCATTCGAATGTCATCCAGCCGTCCCTTCAGGTCATAAGAATCTTCTTCCCCTTGTTCATCAAACACAGTTAACTGCACTCTCATATCATCATTTTCAATCTCTCGAAGGTCCTGTCGATGACAAAAGTATAGGTCAGGGATCCCAGAAGCATCCTATGCTGGCTAGAAACCCAGACCTTTCACCTGGTTTTTAAACTGCAAACCAAAGTTACCGCAAGGATGACGGGGCTATGAGAGCAGGATGAAAGGAGCGCAGCCTCTCCAGTGAAGTGCAGCGTCTCACCTGCAACACCTGGTGCAGCCCCAAGCGCATCAGTTCACTTCGGATGTGAACTCGGAAGTCAAGTTCTTCAGCTGGTGTGATGAGAGCGTTGATCAGCTGTAGGCATCCCACCTAAAACAAGGAAATTCAGGAGCAATGTCAACGTTAACTCCTAGAGATCAAGATTCCATTCTCTTTACATGCTCTCTGAGGCCCCCCAGTATAACTACAAGACGCAGTACAAAAACTACAGAAGGACTTTCTGTTACAGCAGTACAACCTTAAACACAGGTCTGGAGAGCTCAGAGGTCTAAAGGATTCCAAATATTTGACAGTATAATTTGTTGTAGGCCTTGGTATTCCTAGCTTGTAAATAAATACCATGCCTTTTTTCCATCTCATAATGAGGAAAACAGTTCTCTCTCTGCCTTCTTGGAGAGAAAGATAATAATTTCCCTTCAGAAAGAATTCCGAAATACAAAATATATAATTGGAAACCACTCCCTGTGTTCTCTTAAAAGGTCAAATGAACTTAAGTCTTTCCATCTTGAATTCTACTCTTGGGCCCAGTTTCAAGGGGTATACATGCCTTGAGAGCAATGGACGTCCCACTTTTTAATCCATCCAGCAGTGGCTGAAAACGTTCCACCTCATCCATCTCAGCTCTTTCTGTCATCGCCTCCAAAACCCTTTCATTCCTGCCCAAGAGAAAGGAAAGGGAGAGGACTGTCCAGGTGTGCTGACACGGACACTCACAACAGGTAGATCATAGAGGGGCACAGATCAGTTAGGAAGTGGGCATTATCAATGTTCTGGATTTCTCACATTACACTTCCCACCACCTAGAGCAGAAGCCAGATCTAGACCTCCCTAAAATCCCCCCCTGCACTCCTATCCACGTTTACCAAATTAAGTCCCTTTTTTCATGGAGTATAAAATGGTACAACTTTTGGCAGGGCACTTAACAGTACCAATTTTTAATGCACATTAACATTGGTCTACTTCTAGAAGTCCAACCAGCATAAACGCATACATGTGAAATTATACATGTATAAGGAATATATGTACAAAAATTGATAATCAAAATTCTTATCATCTACAGCAGGGGCCAGAATATGCCAAAAAAAAAAAAAGTCTAGCAATGAAAGAATTGTTAAATAAATTATGGGATATATATAGTATGAAATGCCAAACAGCCTCTAAAGATAATAAAGTAGATCTAGAAGTACTGCCATAGAAGAATGTCTAAGATCTGCTGTTAAATACAGAAACAAGTTGAAAAGAATTAAGTGGTATGATTTAGCTTTTGTTAAACCAAACTCCTCCACAACAATAAAAATCTATCCTATACGTGTGATTGGATTTATAGGAATAAGCCATCTTTCCTTAATTCCAAGATACCATATTTTGGAGTGGCAGGTGTGTTAGAATCTAGGAAATTCAACATATTTGTCTGTGCTAGAAAACAGTCTATGAGACTGTACCACATCATTAACACTGGTTACCTCTGCAGAATAGGATTTGCCAAAGGAATGGGCCTGTTAAATTTTACTTCACATATTTTTATGTTGTTTGAATTTTTAAAATAACGTTGTCACTCCTGAATTAAAAAAAAAAAATGTAAAAAGAACCCCCTGTCGACGGATACAGACATTACTGGAGATCTATACCTCTGTAGCCAGCAGTACACTCAGAACGGCCTCCATCTCTTATTCTTTCTTAAATATTAAGATTCACAGTGTTCACGTAAGAAGTACAGTCTTACCTAGTATTTATGACTAAGCGGACACCCAAACAACTCTATATTCCTCTAGACTAAGGAAGATGATAAAAAAGAAAATTGAGAAGAGAAGTAAGTCCAGTTACATACATGTCCTCCGGCTGTGGCAGGATACAAAGAGCAGAAAGCAACTTAGCTGCATCAATCATCATGTTGGGAACAGCAGGATCCATGGCTCTGACCAGCAGCAGAATTCCTTCTTCTGTCTCCAACATGGTCTTGATTCCAAACTGGCAGGACAGAAACAGAAGGAGGGGAGTTTAAAGATGAGAGCATCTAACTAGGAACAAGTTTAGCGGTTGTTATGAGTTGAATGATGTTCCTCCCAAAACTTCTTTTTTTTTTTAATTTTTTTGTTGAGAGGGGAGGTAATTAGGTTTGTTTATTTATTTTTAGAGGACGCACTGGGGACTGAACCCAGGACCTCATGCATAATAAGCATGCACTCTACCACTTCAGCTATACCCTCCCCGCTCCAAAAATTCTTATGTTGAAGTCCTAACCCCCAGAGTCTCAGAATGTAACTTTATTTGGAAATAGGGTCATTGGCAGATATAATTAGTTAATTTACAACAAAGTCAGACTACAGTAGGGTAGGCCCTTAATATAATTATTGTCCTTATAAAAAGGGGAAATGCAGACACAGACATGCACACAGGAAGAACACAATGTGAACACAAAGGCAGAGACTGAGGTGATGCATCTACAAGCAAAGGAATGTCAAAGATTGCCAGCAGGACACCGGAAGCTAGGAGAAAGGGATGGAAGAGACACTCCCTCACAGTCTTCAGAAGGAACGGACCCTGTCAACACTGTGATCTTAGACTTACGGCCTCTAGAACTGTGAGATACACTTTTGTTGTCAAGACACCCAGTTTGTAGTACTTTGTTACAGCAACCCTAGCAACTTAACACAAGGGTAGAACACTTTTCCAAATATAGCTAAGCAGAAATGAGCATAGCAAAATAATGTTCTAACAGACACAACAGATGTCCACGTGTTTTAAGAATAAAAACCTTTGATTCTTATGTTTCTTTTTAATGCCCTCCCCCATCCAATGAAATAATTATAACAAAATTAAATAGTGAGGAAGATAGACTTGCATTCAGGAACAAATAATTGTAAGCTCCTTAGGATTAAATACTAAAAAGAAAAGGATAAAAAGATTCTACAGTAGGAAAAGGCTGGGGGAAAAGAATGACAAATAAGTAGAGAGGAAAGTAAATCTTCCAAAAATAATAACTATAGGTTAGGAAATTCAAGAATTAGCAGAAGATAGACAGACAGACAGATAACCAAATCAATACACTGTACACCAGCAATTAACACAACATTGTAAATCAACTATACTTCAATTAAAAAAAAAAGAATTAGCAAAACAGTATAAATCGGAAGAAAATTGAGCCCATCTTCTGAAAGAGACATTAGAACTGGGGAAAAGATCCATAAAAGCACGTGTATGTGGCAATCAAAAAGTTAAGACACTAGGAGGGCTGAGTATAGCTCAGTGGGAGAGCACATGCTTAGCATGCACAAAGTCCTGGGGTCAATCCCCAGTACCTCTGTTTAAAAAATAATTAAAAGAAAAAAAAAAGGTACAATACTAAAAGAGAAAGAAGTCTTGAATCTTACATTCTCAGCTCCTTTTTGAGTTTGCCAAGAGAAGAGAAAGAACAGGGGTCGTGATGGGGGTTGGAATGAGAATGGGAAAAATCTCACCTTGTTGTTCATAAAAGCTTTCAAGCAGCGAATGATCTCATGCTTGTTACGGCTATCGTAGCTTCTGTGTGCAGAAGACATAATCAGTGAAATCCCTTTATTCTACACCCCTTTCCCATTTGACTTTTCAACCTTGTAAACAAAGGTCTAGGAACACCCCCAACAAGCAGCTGAATAAATTCTAGCACACAGGACTTTGCCCTGAGACACTGGCAAAAACAGGTAGCTGAAGAAGAATCCCCATCATCAAAGACCATTGGTTAACCCTGTTACAAACTAAAATCTTAACATTACATTAAAATCTTCCCTTTAATTCCCCCTAGGCTCCTACGCGCTAAATTCTATGAGGATAACATCCTGTCTATTACTGCCTGCCTCGCTATGTCAAAGGCTTCAAGTCTCTACATCCCAGGAGGTAGAGAAATCACTTTGGGTCAGGCTGCTTTAAGGTAGCCTGACCTAAGACAGTGCATGGTATCCCCCCAATTATTCCAGTCCTGAAGACTATCATAATGCTAGTTCCAAACTGATCAAGTGTATTATAAGACTTCCAAATGAGATATGACCCAGACCAGATCACAAGGAAGTTCTGGACTAGACCAGACCGTATTTCCAAACTGGATAATAATCTGTGCTGGGAGACTCGTATCTGATGTGGTATATGTCTTATGTAATTCACTGTAAAGTGTAAGTTCTTCCTCCTTTTCCTGTACCTATAAATCGTCATTCAACTTCTGGTCATCCCTACAATAAACCCCACCCTTAGCGAACAGCATAATGTCCCAGTCCATAACTTTACATTTAACTGCTATTTTTCCCTTTAGAGCAAACAGCCAAGTCCCCTACTACCCTCTACCTAGATGATGCCAAGACTTCAAAGTCCTCACCCAGCAGTCTCCTCTTTCTCGTCATGAAGTCGTTTCAGGATGTCCAATAAGGAGGCTAGGCCCTCAGCACCAAATGTCTGCACCCAGCTGTAAGGAACAAAGACAACGTATTATCAAATCAAATCAGTAAATGTTTATTCACCAAAATAAAGTGTATCCTGGCAACTCTTCACTCTGAATCCAGAACACTCTCATACTTCCCTGACTCGCTTGATCTTTAATCCCCACCAGTGAACTCTAACATTGGGCTCTTACTCCTGTTAGCACCTCAGAATCCTCACCTAACAGGGTTGTTGTTGAGGGAGACGCGAAGGGACTCCAGGCAGCTGAGCAGAGGCATATCCCGCAAGCCTGACCTCAACTCCTGAATGTACATCATGGCCGACCTGGAGCTCTCCTTCTGACTCATGCCCTAGAGAGGAGCACACAGAGATCAGTAAACACTGGATCCAGTCATCAACGGGCCTAGTATTAGTTAACACAAGTTCAAATAATATGAGGGCAAACACCCATCATACACACCACCGGACTATGTGAGACTCAGAATTTCCATCCCATTACCTATACATACTTCATGAAGATTGAATCGGGTAAAAGGTATGTAAGAAACATCACTCAAATAAGAGTAAAAAGTGAGTAGGCTTATATAACAGGATGAATGATACAATATATATAATATATAATAGATACATAATAATATGATAATAGAACTAACGTGGACGTAACATGTCCTACGAAATTGGCAAAACAAACAGGTCCAAGATAAAGGTACAGCCCGCCATGTCATGGGTACCCGCCCCAGGACTCACAGCCTTGGAGGTGTGCAAGTACTGGGACACCATCTCTCTCTTGATGATAATGTCCTTCTCCCTCAGAGGCTGCTGTTTCTCCTCGTTCAGGTTCATATCCACCTAGCAGAGGGAGAAAAAAAGGAGGAGGGAAATTGCCTTGAATTCCTTACAAGTTTTCAGTCTTTAATATTTATTTAGTATATTTAGTGAAGAGATGAACACAATAAATGCTTATTAAATAAACAAATTTTTCTGATCCATAGAGATTTAAGCTATTACAGATGATGAGAATTTCTCAGGGATGAATGTGGTTAACACTTTAGTGTAAAACCTCAACATTTTTGTACACAAACACAACTTTTTTCCTAACAAAAATGGACTCGATATAGGGGGAAATTCTACTTTGTATTATAGAACAAAAGGAAACATAATGTTTTCTGCACTTAGGATGGACCTTAATAACTTCTTCAGACTGAAGCACTAGATGACTGACGTCATTCAAACACCAGCAAAATCTGCATCTAAACACCCATTATCCTGGTTAACTAAGTCCCTGGACTAACTCCTTCCCTATGAAGAAAGAACTGGAAACTCTACGACAAAGCTCCTCAACAGACATAACCTGAAGTGTGTTATTGGGGGAAAGGCTCTGCTTGAGCCTGTTACAGGTACAACCATGTGTCTGAGCCTCCTATCTCTGTGAGCACAAGTTTAACCCTAGAGTCCAGAGTATTATTTAAAATGGGTGAAGTATAGGAGAAAAAAGTGGGTAGGGTATAGTCAATTTCTTCTCTATGCGTGTGCTTATGTGTGATGTGTGAAAAACATCACTGCCTCCAAACAGCTAATTTTTTTAACATTTTTTATTGATTTATAATCATTTTACAATGTTGTGTCAAATTCCAGTGTTCAGCACAATTTTTCAGTCATTCATGGACATATACACACTCATTGTCACATTTTTTTCTCTGTGAGTTATCATAACATTTTGTGTGTACCAAACAGCAATATTAATTTGACTTTTTTCTGACTCAATTCATAGTGCTTTCTTCCTCCTTTTACAGGTAAATTGAACACGTAAGTTGCAAAATGGTGGCCCTCAGGTTGAATTAGACCCAAAGATAAAGTCTAATTTGTTCAGCTAGCCCAACACTTTAAACTTGAGAGACTTCACATAAAAATATGAATTTCTAGCATCAAAGGATGTAATCATCAAATTTCAGATTATGGGAAACTCTACAGGTCAAACAATTTCTTCAACAAATTTTTTTAAGCAATAACAAGGATAAAAGAGGGAGGAAACCTATACCTCATTCAGATAAAACTTACCTGGAATTATGATTTGAACAAAGAAACTGTTCTTTTAAAAAATGACCTAATTGGGGAAATCTGAATGCTGGATATGATATCTGATGCTACTAAAGAATTTTTTTTTAAATTACAGATTTCTGGCTCTTTTTTAAAAATAGAATTATCTACCACGACTGGGCTAGCATTTCCAACTGGAATGCTATAAAACCTACTGGAACTGAATTGTGGCTGGCCTTTCTAACAAAAATGCCAAAAGTCCTTCATTTTACCACAGTTCCTTCTCCTTTTTATCATCTTCTATCTAGCCTGTTTAACTTATTTATTCTATCTCCCCTGGCCTTAAAGACATCTAAATTTGCGATCCAAGGCCAGGAGATTATCTTGATAGATGACACTCTTAGACTCTTAAGGCACTTGGATTATTATGAGACAAACTGAAAGCTTCAGTGAAATATAATGATAGTAGTACTCAAACTGGTTAAGTATTGACTATGTACCAGGCTCTGTGTTAAGGGTTTCAAGCCCATGCTTTTAATTAAGTTAGACCTGCCACTAGTCTCTATTTAAATCTGAGATCGTATGTCTAAGTCAATACACAGGTCTTATGAAACCTTATAAGCAGGTACTCAAAACGTTCTAAGACTTGTCATCATTAGTGGCCATTCCGTGAGTGTCCTCCCCACTCAGTGTTCCTCACTGAGGCCAGCAGTCAGTCACATCCGTGCACAGTTCACTACTGAACTGACCTCAGCAACAAGCTAAGATCTTCTAGCGATTACAGCATCAGAATTCTCTTTCCAGAATCATCACTAAGTAGAAGACCTTGGGCAAACAATGCCTTTCCATTCCTCAGTTCCTTCTTTGTATAGGTTTTGTTGTGAATGTTTTAAAACTTAATCTACTCTGGCTAACCCAGAGGTGACTGCCACACTACCACATGAGTTGGTAGCTCAAGTGCTGCTGGACTAAAGGACATTAACAAGGTGGTTAGTGATCAGATAATTCAGTCTTATTCATAGATTCCTATCTTACGTAGTGGATAAGCATGCATTTAGTCCCCTCATTAATGGGACTGCTATTAAGTTCTTTGCTAAGCCTGGAATTTTTTGTAATTAAGGGCTAGTTAAGGGGGGACTGCACATGAAAAAGGGCCCACCGTGCCCATAAATGCATTTTCAAGAAGCAGCAATGTTTTGGGGTGGGAAACTTACCAGCATCTGTTCAAAGAGTACTAGAACTTGCTCATCTGAAACATCTTGCAATGACTGTGCTGTGGGATCATCACCATATGATAAAGAATTTCGATGTGCAGAATTGGGCTTTTCTTTTTCCTTCTTAATTCTCATGCTGGTAAATCTCTCCAGCTAAGAAAAAGAAAAAAGTATTAGCAGTGGTCCATTTTTATTTACACAACAAACCTCACATCAAATAGCCAACTCTCTAACCTCTTATATGTGCATGGTTCCTTCTGTCTGTGGGCAGTTCAAGACTCCTTTGAGACGAAAAGAAGCCAGGCTTCCTTGTATCTAATTTACTATACTGACTCTATCGTCTCACCTTCATCCAAAGATAAGAGGACTGAAGTATTAAGATTTGGAACCTCTCTAAAAAAAAACCCAAAAACTTGGTTCTTTAGCTCCCCTGCCATTTCTAAGC